ATGCCAGGTGCCCCAGAAGGAGTGAACAGAACAGGGAATCATCAAGTGATCCCTCTCCTGTCGCCTCTTCCCAGCTTCTGGGAAACAGAGGCTAGGGACACCATCCTGGCTAATAGCCATTGATGTATCTATCTTACATGCATTGATCTAGTTCTTTTCAAACACTCTGATAGTCTTGGCCTTCACTACATCCTCTGGCAAGGAGTTCCACAGGTTGACTGTGTGACAAAATACTTCCTTTTGTTTGTTTAAAACCTAATGCCTATTAATTTCATGTGGTGACCCCCTCGCTCCTGTGTTATGTTTTAAACCTAATGCCTATTAATTTCATTTGGTGACCCCCCTCGCTCCTGTGTTGTGTTGATTAGCTGCATTAGTTGGTTTCAACAAAAACAGCAAGGAGTCTGTTGGCACCGTAAAAACTAACACTAATTATGGCTTAAGCTTTCCTGAGCCGCAACTCACCTCATGAAACAGATTGTAGGAGTACAGAGACTCCCATCTGTTTCTTTTTCTTTCACTTTATGCCTCTGATGGCAACTCAGAAAAGCTTTTGCCCTAATAAAAAAGTATTTGGAGCGGGAAAGCTGGGGCATTTGGATACCTCCTACTTCTCTAAATTAACCCCACAGGTTCAGCTAAAGAAGTTATTCTTCACCCCTTGTTCTAAATTGTGGCTCTGTGCTACAGCCCAGAGGTGGCTGCATTTCAGTAGTGAGTGAAGGGACTTCATCAGGTAGTAATTGATGTCTCTGGGCTCCTGCAGGACTAAAGGCTTAGAAAGCCGTTGTTAAACACTTTACAATTATTGTTGTTATGGTAGCATCTAGCGGCCCATCTGAGATCACTGCCCTGTTGTGCTGAGTGCCGCGCAGACGCACAACAAGAGACAATTGCTGCACTGAAGAGCTTGCAGTTCAACTATCCAACACAGACAAAGCCTGGAGAGGGGAATGGAGGCATGTAGGTGCAGGGACGCACCCAAGGCCCCCCCAGCCATGCAGTGGCAGGGCAGGGAGTTGGAGCCAGGTCTTCAGAGCCCCTGTCTCTTTTAAAATCAGTTTTAACCCTAACTAGCTGCAGGAGGCTGCTTCCTCCTATGTCAGGCTCCCGGAGTCTGTCGCTGTTTCCTGCCCAGCTATCGGTGTCTCGGCAGCTCTTGACGGCCACACGGGGCTTCTGATCCAGTTCTCCAGCTGCCAGTGCGGGGGCTTCCCAGCCCAGCTAGAAGGCAGCCGGGAGCGGAGGAGGGTGGGGAGGCGGGCAGCGGCTCTCGGTATCAGCCTGACGTTGCTCCTGGATCCAGCAGCTGATGCAGCAGGGAGTGATGCAGTGAGGGTGGAGGGGGGAAGAGCCGTGCTGGTCAGCCGGCTGCCTGGCGTTCTTGCCCAGTGAGCAGCGAGCCAGCGCAGGCCCCAGCCCGGCGCGCACTGGGGTGTGGAGCTGGGTGGGCGCGTGGCGGACGGGAAAGATCTCGGGATGCCGGCGGTGGATTGAGCTGGGAGCCGAGGTGATGTGTCTCCTGCCGCGCCCTGGGAGAAGGGCCTGATTTCTGCACTGGTGCGTGTCGCGGGCAGCGTCCTTACTCCTTCCCTCAGGTACGTGAGGAGACAGGTGCTGCCTCCCGGGCTGCCTGCCGGGAGAGGGGCTGGAGGCAGCAGAGGCTGCTGGGGGAGCGCATGCTCTGCCCCTCCCGGGCTGACCCCCCAGGCAGCTGGAATGGCAGCTGCTGCTGGGCCGGGGCTTGCTCCTACGTCTGTGTTGTTCGAATTAACTTTATAGTATAGACATACCCTAAGAAACCACAGACCAACCAAGCGCCGTGGCCATATTTCCTGCTTCTGTTACACACACACACTGACTCACTCTTTCTCTATTATCTTGCCGGAGGGGGAAGCCGGCTGGGGACGGGAAAGGTGCCCCGAGATCTGCCCCCCCAGTCAAGAGTGGTGTTTTCCTGGGGTGTGTGTGATGTATGCCTCAGTTTCCCCTACATTTTGTATGGCAACCTGGGGTGTGGAGGGGAGGTGTAAGGCTGCTCTCTAGGAGAGGTGACTCAGCGGGCTGAGCCTGAATGAGCCATTACAAAGGATCCGTGGGAAATCCAAGGAGACAGGAGCAACTGTCCAGAGGGAGATGGGTTGCTCTACTCTTGGCAGGGAAGCTGAGCAAAGACCCCAGCTGGAGAGTAAAGCAGGGGATGGTGTGAGGTGCTTCTCACCTGGGTCAGACACAGCTTGGGGTTCCTACAGTGAGGGTTGGGGGATGAGGGCAAGGGGGTCCCACTCCACCCCTAGCCCCATCTGCCCTGCCAGGGGAGGGGCTCCTCAAGCCTAACGGGGCCTCTTCAGCCCCCCTGCTCACCCAGATGGAGGGACGTTCTCTTGCTCCCCTCCCCTGCCAGGGACCTTTTCTCCCCACCTCCAGCAATGCAGCCGAGGGCGGGGGGAAGGGTTACTTTGTGCTGGCAGCTCCCCAGTCCTGCAGGCCCGTCCCGTGGTGGTGCGGCTGCCCCCAGTGGCGTCTCAGCGTATCGCTCTCCCTTGCACGCTCCCTGGCTCCAGGGACCACGCTCAGTATCGCCCCTCCCTTTCCGGGCTGTGGAAAACAGCCTCATTCCCAGCACTGCCTGTGTTCCGGGCTCTACCAGACCTGACCTTGCTTTCCGTTAGGAGAAGACGGAGCTGCCTGCCGAATTTGGTGGCCCCAGCTCCTGCTGGAATTTAGGAGGCTGTTCTTGAACACTAGGCGAGCCATGCAATCGGCGCCCTCCCCCCCAGACCCCTCAATGATATTGCACCACCATTTGGCGCCCCAATTAACTTGGCGACCGCCTAGTTCGCCTGTATGGACGGGCCACCCCTGCAGACGTGCACAAATCTCTACAGATGTGGAGGGGAAACCAGGCCCCAGCCTGACCTCTCAGCCTGACAGCGGCTCTGTCCGCCTGTCGCCCTCCTGCCCTGCAGCTGAGAGATGAGTCCAGGCTGGGTGGGGCTGGTCCATGCTAGCCCTGCCTCCAGCTTAGGTTTGGATGCCTCCTGCTCACTCAGCTTCCCCCGAGCGCTGTGCTGAGCCAGGTTCTGCGACGTGGCGGCAGGTTAGGGGGCGGCTGTGGATTTTGTTCATCTCACCAGTTCCACGATGGGGATTTGAACCCGGATTGCTGCTTCCCTGCAGAGCCGGGGCGAGGCCGGGTGTGTTAACTCAGCGTACCGTCTACTGGCCCTGGATGCTGCTTTATAGCCTCTCGGATCTTACCGCGGGGGAAAGGACACAAGGAGAAAGATGTTTGTGTCTGGAGACTTGACACGCCTGCTCCTCAGGTCTGAGTTTGTGGCCAGATCTGCCCAGTTCATGTTTCTTCAGGGCTGGGGGAGGCAGAGCCCGTCCCCTGGAGAGATGAAGGCGGGGTCGCTAGGACACAGTCAGCTGATGTCTGGGAAACGCTTTGATCTCACTGCTCTCGTGTCCTCTTCCTCGCCACCTTTCCCAGAGATCTGTCACGGGAGGGAAGTCTCCCTTCTAACCCTGAGTATTAAACATTGGTAACCGCTTCCATGCGGGATGATGCTCTGGCATGTCTGGTGAAGGAGGCGCTGCTGCCTGCTTCCGGGGGAGATGGGCGTAGGGCAGGCATGGGCAAGAATTCTTGACCAGGGGGCCACTTCAGAAATTTTTTAAGTGGCCCCAGGCTGCCCCGGAGGGGCGGGGCCTCAGGCAGAAGGGGCGGGCCCAGGACACTTCCTGCTTCCCCACCCACCAACCCTGATTGGTCTGGAGGTGGGGGAAGCGCACAAAGTCTTTGCCCCCTCCCCCCCAAGAACCTTCCAGCTGTTCTGAACAGCTGGCGGTTCTCTCTAGGTACTTGTACCCCTGGCGGTGGGGGGAGACTTCCCATGCTCCTCTCTGCTGCCCCCAGGTCAGTCAGGGCCTGGGAAGGGGGAGCAGGTGAAGTCTCTTGCTCCCTGCCCCCACCCTGCCAGGCAGCGCCATGCCTAGAGTCAACCGCCAACTAAGCAGCAGCTGGTGGTTAATTTTATGTGCTGGGAGAATTCACGCGCTCCCCCCCACCCACGCCCTGATTGGCCTGTGTTGGGGGGGCATGGTGGGACTGGGGGGTGAAGGGGTGAGTGAGGCGCAGTGTCAGTGTTGGGGGGGCATGGTGGAATCAGTTAGCGAAGGGGTGGGTGAGGCACATTCGCAGTGTTGTGGGTGTCATGCTGGTACCGGTGGGTGACGGGGTGGGTGAGGGACGTTGGCAGTGTCGGGGGGTCATGCTGGGACCGGTGGGTGACGGGGTGGGTGAGGCATGTTGGCAGTGTCGGGGGGTCATGCTGGGACCGGTGGGTGATGGGGTGGGTGAGGCACGTTGGCAGTGT